CATGATAGAAAGAAAGCCAATCCATCCCGAGAATAAGATCGAAATCCCTCATCTCGAGAACGAACGCGTCGGCAGTCAATACTCGACCACCGATGGAAAGGCTAAGGTCTGAGGCTTTGGCTAAGGTCACTATCTTTCGTCCCGAGGCTAAACTCACCTCGATAGGATCGACAGCGGTAACTGCGTGAACTCCGATGGCGTCGAGACACCGTCGTGAAATAAAGGTGTGCGTTGCTCCGGTATCGAATAACGCAAATACAGGAATATCATTGAGAACAACCATCCCGGACATGGTACCTGGTTGCTGTGCTGCCTCCGCCTGATCGACCGCATAGACCCTGGCTTGCTGCCGGCCCCTCTGCTGCTGTTGCTGCTGCTGCGGTCTCTGTGCCTGCTGTCGTGGCTGCTGCTGTTGTGGCTGCTGAGGCTGCTGCTGAAGCTTCTTCGGGCAACGACTCGCGAAGTGTCCCGGCTCCTGGCAAAAGTAACAGACGTCCTGTCCAGCACGACACTCTCCCCTGTGAAGTCGACCACAAGTCGGGCATGGTGGAATCTTCTGCAGCCTCCGTCGGGTCCTCTTGTCTGCCGGGGCACCCTTTCCTTTCCTTTTGTTGTTCTTTGGCGGCTGGGTAGCTGGAAAAGCTGGTGGAGCTGCAAATGGCTGAGCTGGGGCAGATGGCTGAGCACAATCACGAACGGCCTCCCTCCTGATGCTAGCGTCAACCTCCTGTGCGATAGAGACAACTCGTGCATACGTTTGAGTCTCGTGTCCCACAATGTTATGACGGACTGCTGGGTAAAGTCCGTCAATGAACCGCTGAGCTCTCTGGGACTCCGTGCGAACAAGATCCGGTGCGAAACCTGCAAGTCTGGTGAACTCACGCTCGTACTCATCGACAGTACGAGTGCCCTGCCGAAGCGCTAAGAACTGGCGCTCCATCTCTGCCCGATAGTAGGAAGGGTAGTACTTGTCGCGGACCAGATCCTTGAACATGTCCCACGTACAACCCGCTTTTTCACCGGGACGCATGCTCCAGTAGGCGTTCCACCATAGCCTCGCATCGCCAGTGAGCTGAAGCTGAGCGCAAACTACGCGATATCTATCGGGGCTTTCCATAACTTCGAAGATAAACTCCAACCCCTGAATCCATTCATCAACGATACGGGAGTCGCCCTGACCTGAGAACTTCTCTGCATGATAGTCGCGGAACTGAGCGACTACCGTAGCCTGGGTAGGACCCTGATGATCGGGCTCTCTACGTGGCGGTATCGGAACATTGGGAAAAGTTTAACATTACTGAGTATGCGATAGCATTACTGACTGATTATTAGGCACACAGATCTCTTGACGAGTTGCCAAAATTGGCCGATAATTACTGACGTAAAACCTGAAGAACTCTAGAGTCATCTCGGAAAAATCCTAACGTCTAGAGTCATATCTGAATGCCTGAATTCTAGAGTCATGTCCAACCTCTAGAGTCTGAATCTGAATAGAGCATCTTAACAAAAGTTCTGATCCTCAATTCTGAGCATAGACAAAGTAATATGTTTATAATAACTGAAAAACTGAATTGCAACAGCACTTACCTGTCGTCGGCGGGGCGTGAACATGACGGTTCGGGTTTTTCTGAAAAATTTCGGACTGAAAACTTTTCTGACTGAAAACTCATCAGAGACGCAGAAACGTGCTCTAATACCAATTGTAACACCCCATCTTACTAGATAAATCAGAGTTGCGCAATTATTCGCAAAGTCTTTGAAAACTAAAACATTTTTACTTGGCGAAACTGATTTGGGGTGCTACCGTGAAAAATCGTTACTTAACTTTGAAAACCGTTGTTTTAATTTAATAAAAACGTTCGGTTACTGAAAAACTGTGTTTTTTGAAAAGTACGTCAAAATATAATAAGTCAAAAACATCGTCAAAAGATCGTCAAAACGTAAGCGGAAGCGTAAGTTATAGTTATACAGTCCAAAACACATATATATGAATATCCTGAAAGTCCCGATCTGCTCCGTCACGTCACGCTCCCTGGCCGACATCCTGACCTGAAAAATAAGATAAAACTGGGGAGTGAGCACTAGGCATTGTGCTCCGTGGAAACTCATACTAATGTAAAACATCGTAAATAATAACAATATCATGAACTAAGAATATATATTTGAACTGAATCTGATACCGGTCTGAACTCGCGACATAAGTCACGTAACTGATAACTGATCTCGTGACTGAAGCCACGTAGTGACATAAGTCACATCTGAACTGAACATCTG